GGGAGGGGGAGGAGGGGGTAAGCTCTGAGTTCGGGTGAAAAATCTTTTATGCACCCGTTCTGGATGAGTCCCTTTAGCCGAGGCATCCAGGGTCCTCGTGTGGGAAACAGAATTGTGACTGCTGATTGCTGCGGGGAGGGGGCGGGAGCTGTTTCCTGGGTGTGGAGTTTTAGTTTTGCAAAACAGAAAGTTAGCAAGGTTAGAAGCTTGTTTGCATAACAATGTGAATGTAAGAAACACTACTGAACTTTATATGTAAAAATGGTTAAGATAGTAAATTTTACCCCAATGAAGACATTTATAAAATGTTTACTTTTTTTTGAGATGGGGTCTCACAGTGTTACCCAGGCTGGTCTAAAACTCCCTCCTCAAGCCTGGTGTGGTGGCGCACGCCTGTAATCCTAGCACTGCGGAGGCTGAGGCAGGAGGATCTCTGGGAGTTGGAGGCCAGCCTGGGATACAAAGTGAGCTCAAGGCCAGCCTGCACTGCATAGCGAGACTCTGTCAAGGCTAGCCTGAACTGCATAGTGAGACCTTGTCTCAAAAAAGGCAAAAAAGCAAAAACCAAAAACTCCCTCCTCAGCCTTCCAAGTGGACTACAGCTGTGCACGACTGTGCCTAGCTAGGGAAAAAAAAATCTTTTTAATTAAAGTAACAACTTTTTTTTTGTATCAGGAATCGAACTCAGAACCTTGTGCTTGCCAGGCAGGTGCTGTGCCACTGAGCTATATCCCTGGCCTTAAAGTAACAATTTTAAAATGATTTTTAAAATTAAAATTATAAAACTGAATATTCGGCACCCTATTCAATCTGGGTGAATAAAACATGTTTAAACATTTTCACTGCATTTGTAAATGTAATATGTTTGGTTTCTTTTTACAAATATATTTCTGTTGCCTTAATAAAAACTTTTTTAAAATCTCTTTTTATATTTTATTTATTTATTTTTAAATTTTTATTATTTTTGGGGGGGGTACCAGGAATAGAACTCATGACCTCAGGCTTGCCAGGCAAGCACTTATGCCGCTGAGCTACATCCCCAGCATAATAAAAGCTTTTCAAGGCACTCAGATATTTCTTAGAAATCCAGGAGCGTATATTAGAAATGTAGTGAATTGAAGTCCTCACAGCTTATTATTTGTACCCCAACACCAGTGTCATATCTACACCTTCACCCATGAGCTGAGCTCCCCCCTCCCCGCCGCAGCCAGGCCCTGTGACCAAGGATTCTTGTTACACAGCCTGGGTGGCTTTTCTTTGTTTACCAAAGTCTCTCTTTTAACCCCAGGGCCCTTGGGTAAGCCTGTGACCTGTCATAGCATGCATATCCCAGGGGATATAGCCGGGGATATAGCTCAGCAGCACAGCGCTTGCCTGGCAAGTGTGAAGTCCTGAGTTCGATTTCTGGTACCAAAAAAAAAAAAAAAAAAAAAAAAGGAAAGAAAACCTCGAGTGTCCTGTTGCTCCTATATATCCTTTTAAATATCGCAAATTCCAAACTTGCACTTACTGTTTCTTGACACAAACATGACCAGTATATGTTGTCTCTTAAAAATATGGGTCATTTTATTTTATTTTATTTTATTATTAGTTTGTCTTTCTGAGACAGGGTCTTGCTATGCAGTTCAGGCTGGCCTTGAGCTCACTTTGTAGCCCAGGCTGGTCTCGAACTCACAATGATTCTTCTGCCTCAGCCTCCCGAACGCTGGGATTACAAGCGTGTGCCACCATGCCTGGTATTTGTGGGTCATTTTAAACTAATGTAATGATGTCATCACTCCAAGCAAATGCCAGGGTTCCTCTCCTAAGCCATGTGGAGATTCCTAGCTCCTCTGAGGTCCCTTGATGTCCATAGAAACCCCAGGCTTGGACATGGGCTCGCATGTAACCT